GATGGCACATGGAAGTAAAGCATTGGTGCCAATAGATCAAAAGACCAATAGATCAAGTTGGCCCCACGCTCAATAGGGAGTCTGTTCCTCCTTCTCCCTCTCCCCTTCCCTCTGCTTATGCTCTCTCTTTCTCATATAAATAAATAAAATGTTAAAAAAATAGATTGAATTCTCTGACTTCAGTGTCAATCATTCTGTCTTTCCATTTAAGAGTGATTTAAGATAATACAAGCTAGTAAGTATCCAAGGAACATTGGAACACTTACAGGCAAATAAACTCTTTTGCCTGGGAGAAAATTGGGTCTAGCCCTACCCCAGTAATCTGAAGTTTGGTGTGGAGCTGAGTACTATGTTGTGACACATCAGCATTTTCTCCAAGCCTGTCCATAACGTTCTCTCACTTTGGCATATCTTGGGTGAGCTTGCAAAGCCTTCTCATGTCCAACGACACCTTTGATCCAGTGAGGTTGGCAGGGCAAAGTTTATAGCATTCAGTCTACCAAAAAAACTGATTCTCTGCAAGGTTAGGACAATGGCCACAGCTACATGGAGGTTAAGGGTGCAGCTAAATGTCAAACTTGCTTTTTCTGATCTTTGCTTTCTCCTGTGTATTTTCCTGTGGCATTTGAAGGTGGGCTTCTAGGAAGATTCATTCAGTTGCAGTTTTTAGCTGTACACTGCTGATGAAAACCTGTTTCTATTTGTAGGGTTTCCCTGGGGGTAGGCTAGTGTGCTAGTTTTGGACAATCTTCAGACTTCCACTCAGTCTGTGATTCTATCCTGACTCTGCAAAGTCCTCCTACTTCCCTGCATGGGCATTTCAAGGGCAAAGTCATAAATGGCAATTTTCAGGGCCGGTCGTAATCTTCAATTGGATATTAAGAATTAGATTCTTGGTTTTCTCAACCAGCACTATCCAATAGCATATAATATAAAATACATTAAAAAAGTAAAAAGGAGGCAAAATTAACTTTCATTATCTATTTTATTTAATACAACACAACCAAAATGTTAACATTTCAGTATGTGATCAATATAAAAAATTTTTTTGGTACCAAGTCCTTGAAATTTGACCTGTATTTTATACCTACCTCACATTTCTGTTAGAACTAGCCATATCCTGAGTGCCTAAATGGCTAGTGGCTACTGTATTTGGCAGCACAGTTCCAGAAAAATTTTCCAGGAAAAAAATACAGTGAAGACAAAGAAGTGCCCTTCTTTCTATTCGTAATAGGGAATGAATTGAACAGTGGCCTTTATTATGACACACTTCATCATCAGTCATCAATCATACAGCACTGTAGAGAGCTTCTCAGCATCATAGCAAATTTAGCAAAACTACTTTCTAGAGATCCAGTAGCTTCCGGAAACTAATGACAGTTGAAAACTGTTGGATAGTCTGCCATATGCCTGACATACATTATATTACAAAGCTTTTGTTTACAAATTTTGGGGGGATACATATCCACTAAAATGTGCAGAGAGCTGAGGTCTGCTGGGTAGGGAGGAAGCAATACAAGCATGAAACTTGTGGTCTAGGAGGGAAGACTGGATAAAGCAGTTAAAGGCTAAGTGTCCATTGCATGATGAGCATGAAAATCACTGAATTCTAGCTCTCAAACAAGACCAGGTTTTCCCAGAAAACCTACATTAAAATTCCATTGTTTCTGCACATGAAATAATTACCCTTTAGTACTTAACAGTTGTAATAGTAATGACTGATGACTGATTTGTTGAATTTGTTTGAGAAAGTAGAGCCAAACCCTTTAGAAACAGAACAATTTTTTTTTTTTTTTTTTTTGGTAGGGGAAAAGAAGAAAGGGGACAGACAGATGGGAAAGGTGTGGACTTTTTTTTTTTAAGAATTGATTTATTCGACAGAGAGTGAGAGAAGGAGAGAGAGCACAAGTGGGGGGGGCAGCAGAGGGGGGGGGGGGGGAAGCAGGCCCCCCGCTGAGCAAGGAGCCCGATGCGGGACTCCATCACAGGATCCCGAGACCTCGACCTAGCCAAAGGCAGAGGCCCAACCCACCGAGCCACCCAGGCGCCCCCCACCCTTTATTTTTTAATGAAAAAAATTCTTTTTTCTTTTTTCTTTTTTTAAGATTTTATTTATTTATTTGACAGACAGAGATCACAAGTAGGCAGAGAAGCAGGCAGAGGGAGGGAAGGGGGAGGAAGCAGGCTCCCTGCTGAGCAGAGAGCCTGATGCGGGGCTCGATCCCAGGACCCTGAGATCATGACCTGAGTTGAAGGCAGAGGCTTAACCCACTGAGCCACCCAGGCGCCCCTAAATGAAAAAAATTCTTAAAACAATTTTATTTATTTGTCAGAGAGAGGGAGAGAGCATAAGGAGGGGGAGTGGTAGGCAGAGGGAAAAGAACATCCAGCTGAGCAAGGAGCCCTGACGTGGGATGATCCCAGGACCCTGGGAACATGACCTGTGCCAGAGGCACAGGCTTAACCCATTGAGCCACCCAGGCGACCCAGTGTGGACCTTTTTGTTGTGACAAGATGGGAGTATTCCTTTTTCTTTTTCTTTTTTTAAAGATTTATTTATTTGACAGAGAAAGAGAGACAGCGATAAAGGGAATACAAGCAGGGGGAGAGGGAGAAATAGGCTTCCCACTGAGCAGGGAGCCCCATGTGGGGCGTGACCCCAGGACCCTGGGATCATGACCCGAGCAGAAGGCAGATGCTTCACGACTGAGCCACCCAAGCACCCCAAGATGGGGGTATCTCTTGATAATGGGGAATGCTAGCTTGAAGCAATAAGCATGAAGCTTTAGTGCCTAGGAACAAGCGGCTATTGCTGACAGAGAGGAGGGGCAAGAGTGAATATAATGAACACATTTTGTGTACTTCAGAGCACTGCCCATTCCTGGACTGAGCAGATAAATACAATGCAAATGTTTTCAGTGGGGATGCTGTGGGAGATAGTAGTTAATGTCCAGAGTTCAGGAGCCAGACTGCCCATCACTGTGAATTTGCGGATGTTACTTAAATTCTCTCTGCCTCACTTTTTGCATAAATCAAAAAATGTTAATGAGATTTGATGAGAAAATGTAAAGAAAGAGCTTAGAATAATGCCTGGCACATGACATGTACCAGTTATTATTATTAAATTTAGTATTAATATATCAATAGTAATTATTATCTGTGGGGCTCCTTTAATTTATTCCTGAAGTTTCACAAGATGGTTAACCCTATCAAGCAATCCTGATACAAAGTAGGCAAATTCTAATGACTCCCTCCCTCTAAGATGGCAAAACTGGGGCAAAGAGATGAACACGACTTGCCCAAAGGCTCAGAGGCTGCTCCTAAAATGGGGAAGGAGGCCATTTAAGGCAGTGGTGATGGATTTCCCCAAAGACAAGGACTTAGGACACTTGTAGGCTGGAATTGGAATCCAGGCTGCACTACTTAATTCACGGTGTCATCTTGGGAAATTACCTGATTTCTCTGAGTCCTTAGGCCTTCATCTATCAAATGGAGATAATAAATATGCCCATTGTTGTTAAAACTCAATAGCATGATGCATGAAAAGTGCATGTGGTCTGGATTCAATGAAAACAGTCTCTCAAATTATTATTATTACTGTTGTTGTTATAGCTACTATGTAGCACAGCAGGCAGTGCCTGTCTGGGTGCTTTGAAGTGTTTTGGCTCACCACTATGCCCCAGCGCCTGGCACAGTGCCTGACACCCAGTAGACACTCAGGAAACATTTGTGGAATGAATGTCTATCATCTGATGAAGGGAGAGCAGCCTACCGACTCTGCTTCCTAGCTTAGCCCTTGTCCCTCTTCCAAAAACCAAACAGTTTGTAACCCAAGGGTTACAAGAGTTAAACGGTTAAAGGATTAAAAAGAGTCTAGGCACTTTTTAGCAGTGGGATGGACAGCAACCCATCTCATCCCTGACGCCGCTGTCCCGGCTGCTGGAGGGCGCCCCCCCTGGACGCGCATCATTGTGTGAGCGGCTCTCTCCGAAGCCCTAATTTTTCTGGCTTGCGGTTTATTTACTTAAGCATTTACAGCTCCGGGGAGCAGAGGGGCTGCTCGAGGCGGGGTCAGGACCTAGGTCGCGGTTTGTATTTATTTTGTGCCTCCCAATCTCCGCGCCGGCAAGTCACAACACGGCTCCTTTATTTGTGCATCGGAGAGGCTTGCGTTTCTCTACCTCCTGCTGGGCAAGGAAGGACCCAAGCAGCTCGGGGTCTCTGAAGCCACTTGCCTGTGTCCCCGCCTGCGTGGACCGTTGCTCCGAGTTAGTTTTCTGTGCAAACCCCAGCGGGGCGTAGCAGATTAAATAAAGACAACCTCGCGCATTTAATCCTTCACCGCAAACACTGGCGTTTTTGTGCCCTGGATTTCTGAAATTCTTGGCTCAAGGACTTAAGGAGCCGGGGAAGAGGGTTGCGGGGGAGGGTGGGTAACAGCTCGTAAAAACTTCCCAAAGCAGAAATCCGAGCTGCTCCCTGCCCCCCTCTCCCAGAGATACCTGGATTCAAGGGAAGGGGGGCAGCCGGAGGAGGAGCGTCCCCAAGGGTTGGGGGCGCCCCCCAGGGGTAGTTTTGGGTCGCCGGCTGCAAGCCCTACCAGCTCTCTGCGAGAAGCCGGATTCGCAGCCCGGACGCCCCGCAGGACGCCCCTCCCCGTCCCCGCGCGCTTCTATTTAGAGCCCAGCCCGGAGCCCAGGGGATTCTGGGACTCGTAGTCCTTTCCCGCAGCCCCAGGCGCCTCCACGACCTCGGACTCGGACTACATTGCCCAGGGAGCTTCCCGGCCTATATAAGCCGCCAGGAGCCGCTTCAAAGTGCAGTAACCATGTGGATGTGCTGCTGAAGCGTTTCCTCAAGCTCGCTGGGGTGGGAGGAGAGGAGGAGGTGGTGGTGGAGGAGGAGGAGGCAGAGGGTGGAGAGAGAGAAAGCGCACGCAGAGAGGAGGTGTGGGTGTTCGTTTCCATCCTAACGGAACGAGCTCCCTCTTCGCGGACATGGGATTACCCAGCGGCTGCTAACCCCTCTCCTCGCCCTGCTCCCCCAAATCGGCGTGACTCCCGGGCACCAAGGTAGCGGCTGGGGCCGGGCAGAGGGCGCGGGGAGTTGGTACTGTCCTCCCCGGGCGCCGAAGTTTTGCCCCGCTCTCTGGGAGTTTTTGGTGGATTTGCATGCACTTGAATACGTTTGGGGGCTCTTTAAACTGACGGCATTTTGGGGTGTTCATTTGAGACTAAAAAAAAAAAATTATCGATTCCAGTGACTGGCCTTGAGGGCTACCCATTCTGGACTGGAATGGCATTCCCCTAAGTTGGAAACTGTTGCAGCAGCTGCAGGAAATGGTTTTTTTTTGGCGGGGAGGGGGGGAGATGTCGGGGTGTCATATGTGAGTCCGCTCAAGGAAACAATCTTTTAAAAGTAGCCCTCCCTGGAGCTGCCTGGTTGAGAGAAAAATGCATGTGGGGGGGGGGCAGTGGGGAGGGTTTTGAAAACGGAAGAAAACCCGGGGAGCGGTGAGGGATGAAGTGTGTGTGGACCGAGCTCACGCCCAATGAGGATGCGGGCTGCGGATACTTGGCCTAGGCTCCTGGAAACAAGTGCTTTGGGATCTGCCAAACACTTCCCTTAGTTCCAGCTCCCCCCGCACGTTCCAAGTTTTTGCGTGCCTAGTCTCACTTGTCAGTTACAACTGGAAATAAGTAAGCAAAGTTACCTGTATTCTTTGTCCAGCTGATCCCTCCAGCCTTGCGGTCTTGTTCCGGGAGGTGAGGGAGGGGGGGTCTCTCCTGGAAGGAGGCTAAAGAAGGTGGAAGTTTGCAGTTTGAAGCATTTCTGTTAGGGGCCCGTCTTTGTAGTCTTACCCTCAGTTTTGTTTTTGTTTTTGTTTTTTTTCTTTTCTTTCTGAATACCTAGTTGCTGACTACGGAGGAGCAGGATTCGCACAGCTGGAGGGTTTTGGCAACAGAGTGCCTGACCTAGGTCAGGTGAGTGTAAAGCCTGAGAGCTGTAGTCAATAATGAGTTTCTGTTTTAAGTGTATTTTATGTCCTCTCTAGAGAGCCATGGAGATTAGAAGTAGAAAAGAAAAGCAGACTCTAGGGCTTGGTGTCCAAAATTTGTCACTGCCTTCTGTAAGAGCTTTAGGGAGCATTTGAGTCCTGCCTAGCACTTTTGGCCAAGACTCAGACTTAAAGCAGCCTGAAGGTGTATTGGGGCGGGGCGGGGGGGGGGGGGGGGTGGAGGAGGGAGCAGAAGCCATTAAATGGAGCAATAAAAGAAATGCCCGTTGATGCCTGGCAGCATGCTGATGATTTAAATTCTGAAGGATGCAGTACATTTCATCAGCCAAGATATGGAAGCAAAAATTAACTGCCTCTTTGAAAAGTGGTCACTTTTGTTTTTGTTTTTGTTTTTGCTGTAACATGTGTTTAATCAGAGTATGTTGGATTGCAAGAAATGAAAGTGGTTGCTGGCAATTTGGAAGTATTAGTACTTTAAAAAGGGAAATTAGTTCTTGAAGCATGAGAGAGTAGCATCCAGTCCTTGACTTGAAGCTGCCTGAAAGTCAAGGAATCTGATAAGACTCTCTTGTTTAGGTGCTTATTGTGGGATACGAGTTGAGGGCAGCATATCTGTAAAGATAAGCAGCTTTTGTCCACCTGCCCCAAAGGGTCAGACTGCACTTAAAGAAAGGGAGGTTTTAACAGCTGCCTATACATCCCATTGCTGCGGATTTGACCATCACAAGTTTTCTTCTTCCGAAATGGCCAGGAACAGGGTAGACAACGGGATAACGGGCAGACAACCGGGTCTCAGCAACTTCTTTAATGTTCTAAATATTTAGCTGTTCCCTGGGCTACAATCTTTGGGCTTTTTAAATTAGAAAATAAAAGGCAGACACTTCATTATAGTAGTATAGTGCTTTTGTTTCCTGTTGATAAGATCCTTAGGCATGCTGGTGGAGTGGGAAGCCTTTGGATGTGTGGGGTGTAGTTCATTCTTAGAGTTTAGTTGATTTTCATGGCTACTTGGGTGCTCAGAAGGCCAAGGAAAGGGTTAAGTTCCCCTCTTTTGAGTAAGCTACAGCACCGGGAGAAACTGATCCATAGACTCTTCTCCAGCTTGTTGCTAAAAATAATACTGACACGTGAAGTACTTGTGAGCTGGATCCAGAGCCATATAGCACAGAAACTCAGTGAGTCGGGTACAGGTGAAGAAGCTGAGGTGTAGAGAGTAGGAACACTTGCCCAGTAGCTGGTGCAAGTGGAATCAAGCAAAGTAGAACTCCTAGTTGTGGGGCTTCTTGTGTTCCACAGATGCATTTAAGCTAGAGGGTAAAGGTGAAGGGAGAAGCTAGAAGAAATGGTAAACTTATTTCTGTTAATGAAATAACTCTTGCTTATGTCCCACCAGTGATGAATGAGTAATAATATTTACCTTGATTTAAGAAGGAAATGATGTAGCCATAGATGTAGGGATAAGAGTGTGGCTATTTGAGGAGGTATTAGAGGTTATACTGATTTTGTTTTAGAAAGCTATATGCTGAAAGCCTGAATGAGGAAAGTAAACGAAACCAAACCACACCACAAGGAACATTGTCTAAGTTCAGCATTAGGTTCATCTCATAACTGAAATCCATCTCGATCATCTACATCAAGGCATCTGAGCAGGTTAAAAGAATCAGGTATTTCTCAGTCTGAATAATTTGATAATTTGAATTGCAATGAGTCTAAACTGTAAAGTATCGTTATCTTTTCATTCTTTTCATATACTCTTAAGTTTGGTTTGTGGCCAATTGTGCAGAACACTTTTTCATTTTTTTTCCTTGTGTGTGCATGCATGCACGTGTGTGTGTGTGTGTGTGTGTGTGTGTTAAAAGTACAGTCTGTTCTTTAAATAATTCAAATCAGAACAGAATATACTATCAAGATTTCCTTCTTACCAGGCAGGGAAAGTTCTTCATGCTCTAAATGAATGACCCCTGGCCTCCACTTTGAGTCCCATGAAATTGTTGGGGGTTGACAATAGTATTATTGATTTTTAAACAAAGTAGTTGCCTTTTGGAGGGAATTGGCATCCTTTCTTTAGGAATGAGAGATGGAATTGTTGCTTAGAAGAAAGGAAAGATGAACCCAACAAGATAAATCTCTTGCCTTTGTCCTCAAAATATTTTCAAGTAGGGAAGACCAGGGTATTAGAGGTAGAAATGAAACTTGTAATCCAATGGTATACAACTAGCTGACTTCTAGACAAAAAAAGTTGCAGTGTTTTTAGTTCATTTATAATTATGTCATGGAAACTGATTTCTCGACAACCAGCTGTTAAATAACAAACCAAAATGAAATAATAAACACCAAATATGAACAACAGAAAACAACAACAACAAAAAATAAAAATACATCTGAAGCTAGGTTTCTAGGTCAAGCTGTCCTTGGATACATCTAATTAAGGAGTCTACACAAGGCCAGTGTCCCATCTTGTTTACTGTTGGCATTTGTAGGCTTTTTATTAACTGGAAATGCATTTAATTTTTTAGTTTATTTTTGCTGTTTTAAGCTTTTGCACTGCTCTTTGGATGAAATCAGTTAAGGCTTGAAGTCAGTGACATGAATGACATAATTTTTATGATTCTGACCAATTTTTATAGTGTCTCTCATTCCGAGTTTATTGCTAATGAGCATGAGCTGAAAATGCCACTGAAACCGTCACCTGTGGAGCTATTTCTCCTATTGAACAATGGCTAGGGTCTTCCCTCAGCTGGACATAGTTTAAGGCTATTTGGTGTGATGAATCTCTTTATGAATATCTAACACCTCCTAAAGTTGTTACTTTAAAGCGTTTATTCCTTCATTCAACAATTTCTTGAGGACCTACTATGTGCTGGGATATGTTCTAAGTGCTGGGCATACAACAATGAAAATCCTGTTCCCAAGAGGCTTAAATCCTAGTTGGGGGGAAGCAGGAATTATAAATAAGCAAATATTATTGTGTAACAGGTAGCAAGCGCTACAGAGAAAAAGAAAGCCAAGGAAAGGGGAACCGGAAATAACAAATGTTGATGAGGATCGGGAGAAAGTGGAACTCTTGTGTGCTGTTGGTGGGAGTGTAAGATGGTGTAGTCACTGCAGAAGACAGTATGGCAGTTCCCCAAATGATTACCAAATGATCTGGCAGTTTTACACTGGGTATATAACCAAAAGAATTGAAAGCAGGGATACAACTGGTATTTGTACATTCATGTTCATAGCAACACTGTTTACAGTAACCAAAAGGTGGGAACAACCCAAGTGTTTACTGACAGATGAATGGATAAACAAAAAGTGGTATGTCCATATAATGGAATATTATTCAGCCTGACAAAGGAATGATATCATTATACACATTACAAGATCGGTGAAGGTTGAAAACACTAAGTGAAATAAGTGAAAACACTAAGTGAAATAAGCCATACATAAAGAGGACAAGTAGAATGGTGCTTACCAGGGGCTGGGGCTATGTGGAATTTGTTTAATGGGTACAGAGTTTCATCTAGGGAGGATGAAAAAAATCTGGAAAGGGATGGAAGTGTTGGTTGCTCAGCTCTGTGAATGAATTAATGCCAACGAATCTTATACTTACAAATGATTAAAGTGGCAAATTTTATCTTGCGTTCATGTATTTTACCACAATAAAGAAATGATAACAAAACAGCATAAAGGGGATAAAAGTATTCAGGAAGGGATTTCGAATGAGAGGAATCAGGGAAGGGCTCTTGAACAGTGCATCTGAGCAGAGAGCTGAAGGGAGTGAGCGGTTAGCTGTGCTGAGAAGGACGTTCCAAAGGACTGGAGCAGAAAGTGCTGAGGCCCTGAGATGTGAGCAGGTACAACAGGTTAGGGAAAGGCCAGGAGGCCAGATTGGTTGCAGCTGAGGGAGAGTGCTAGGTGTTCAGGTGGGAGAAGGAGTCAGAGTCAGATCTTAGAGGAGCCTGGTTTTGCAGGTAAGCCTTAATTGATTTCCCTGAGGATTTCTTAACTGTCTCAGAACTCTTAATGTTCTCTGCCTCCCTGAGCTACATTCTCCTTTCTCAAGGGACTGGTGAGGCTGGCAAGATCGCCTACTGAATTCCAACTTAACTGGGAGGGGGGTCAAACCCAGATTTCTAGACAGTCTCATTAATTACATGGTTTACCTCAGATTGTAATCCACTTTAGTAGGAAGGGAATATTCTTTTTGGTTTGGATAACGAAGTTTAAGAGCCTAATGATATTCTTGGTGGTTTTTCTTCAACACAGACTTTGTGTACTTTGCTACCACCCCTGTCTGTCAGGTCTCATTTTACAGAATTACACAAGGAGAACTCATGCTCTGCTTCTAGCATCACCCTGAGGGGATACAAAGTTCCACATAAGTGATTCTCTCTGATAAGTGAAGTGGACCCCTTTGTGTGTATAGATTTATAATGTACATACCTGTTGTTACTTAATTGCATAAGATAAGCATATTCAATTAAAGTAAAATAGTAAGATAAACAATAAAACCAAACCAGGCAACCCCAGTCCCACCATCCAAGGTGAGGGTTCCAGACTCCTCCACATCCAAGGTGAGGGTTCCAGAGTCCTCCCATGTATACATATATACAAATTACATGTATGTTTAAATTTCATAAAAAGGACTTGTACAGTACTTCAAGTTTGGTACCTTGCTGTATTGCACTCGATACTGAAGCTCTGTTCTTATTAATAAATAGACACGTGTGCCTTCATTTTTCTGAAGGTGCCTGTACCTTTGAAGAGATTGCCTTTGAGTGGTGACATGGATGGCATCACTAGGGTAAAAAAAAAAAAATTATTCAGATTTCTTCATCATCATAGAATCCAAGTTTTCTCATTCAGTTTATACTCTTTCTTTAAAGAAATCTGAATGGAAGGTAAAGCACTCTTCGAAAGTTAGCTATCTTATTGTAGGGATAAAGCCTAGTAATCATTCATTTCAATGCAGAATTT